TGCGTTGCTTTGTCAGCTACCTTAGTCATAGCTCGGAATTAATCGAGAGACTCGAATATACAAGAGACGAGCAGAGGTACATAGCAGCCACAGCTAATTTTAGTAGTGGAGCTGTGTTTGTGGCTTGTCCCCTGTCTTCTGTGGCTTTGCCCCTGTTAGGCAGAACAAATAACCAACAAGGGCCGAACAAATAACCGTCCTCCGAGGGTCAGCGGCGGGTATGAGCACAATCTCATCGTTCGTTCATCGGGGAAAATTCAACAATGCTGTATTCTGGAGTTCCCCGTGCGGGTTGGTCGACGCCTCTTCTGATCCCTAGTGTCCCCCCTCATGGGCAGAAAAAGCAGCTTCCGTATGCCACGAGGAAAAACCTGGCACAGGGGATTCACTAATTACCCCAGGTCGATGTAACGGCGGCCCAGCAGCCTTTAGCGTATCGACGGTCCCTTCGGTACCCGCTCCTTGACCTGTTTCAGCATGTTGCTTCGCTCAGCCTTGGCTGCACCCCCAGCGTCGCGTTGGCGGTGGAGATGAAGCGTAGTCGACTTGAACGTTCTGGACCTCCGTCGAGGCTTGGCCGAGTTCCGATTTAGAGATCGCGATCGTGGCTGGTGAGACTGACGAAAAAAGTCTCACGTCTGCCCTGCTTCACCACTAGTCCGTCGACATTTGTAGGGGCTTGATGCTTGCTAGTCAAGTCGACAACACACGAGGCCCTTTCCTCCCGTTGTCTCATCAACTTTGACGGTTCGAAGCTTATCCCAGGTTTGACAGGTGAAGAGCGAAAACGGGCTGCCCAGCCACTCGACCCAATGTCGATCCCCGTTTCTGATGAGGCGTCCTCTCGCCCCCCGCCCCAGCATCACACTGACGAGGGATGTCTTGTTCGGTCTGGCCAATTGTGGCTTGCCTGGCTACCCTAGCTGCCCTGTCGTGCTGCGTCTGCTACCGCCCCGAATGATTGTTAGGCGTTTAGGCTGTTCCGACTTCCATGCTCACCCACAACGGCCCACATTCTGCTTGACCACGTTGGCTTCACGGCTTGAGGTCACTCACTCCGTTTCTTCTTTTGATGTGGACTGAGATGACGGCCCAGTGACAGATGGGGGTTCTTATTCGGTGCTTGCCCCGGTCCCATTCAGGTCAGTGGAGATCCAGAGGACATGGACATGGACATGTACACATCCACGCACGGCCGAGTCTAGACCGCCAGACGAAGCCACAGTTGGCGAGACACTGCATCGAGGCACATCGACGAGCTTGAGGAAGACTGGACCTGAAGCCCCGGAGGATGCCCTCTCAAGACGCCTCCTGCCTCCCTAACCTGCTAGAAAACCTGCTTGACACCCGCGTCTCATTGGCGAAAGCAGAGCACACCAGGTTCCCGTTCCTCCTGGCGCCTGGGAGTTGAGCCTGGGTAACATCCTTTGGGAAGGTCAGCAGTTGCTGATGTGTCAACTGAGCTGCGAATGACAACATGCTTTCGCCATTGTGGCGGTCCAACTACTGCTCTCACACGCCCCCAGACTGTTGTCAACGGAGATTTCGTCCGATGCTGCCTTTCTGTTGTGCGTCCCCAGCTCTGAAGCGCCTCTTTCCGTACTGTTCTGTTCATCCCTGCTCGAGACCCGATGTTTGGGTTCGAGATGCGAGGATCAGACCAAGGCCAAGACCATCCATACGGACTGCTACGTCACGGACCTCCATCTTGCTCCATCACCCACCACCCCTGATCCCTTGCACAAGTGGTTAGGTATCCACCAGGATATCCACCTGCCATCGGAGTGTGGTGGGAGAACCACGTAGGGCAAAAGACATCAGTCTCTGTCGATCACAGACTGCTGCGTACCCCTACCCTTACACCAAACGACCAAGTCTCTCAAAGGAGCTCTCCTTTCATCAGCCCACAGTATTGTGTTCCTGACGCAACGCGCACTCCTGCTGCACCCCGACACATCGATTTCGGGAAGATCGCATTCCCGTTGCCCCTTTTCCTCTTCCACTATCGATCCCCAGTCCCCCAAAGAACAGACCCATCCATGCAGACACCCGCTCCTGCAGGCCGCGACGGCTCCGAGTCCGAGTCTGAATCCATGCACACGGCGCGGTCCCGCGCCGACAGCGAGGCGCGTCGCGACCCCTCTCGCACTGGCATCGAGGCAGATACGACAGCCAAGAGCGATGGGTATGAAGTCGTCGACGTCAACGACTCAGAGGAAGATGCAGGGCGCGATGATCAGAGCACGCCCAAGCCTGAGCAGGCTGCGCGACCAAAGCTGCCCAGGTTGAACTCCCAGTCGAGAGCCTCGTCGTCATTCGTCGGGAGCGAGACAGATACGCAAGATCATGCTGAAGCCCCAAGGCCGCAGCCTGAACAGCAATCAAGCCGCCCAGCTCAGCCAGACGTAGCCTCTGCGTCTCAGCAAAAGTCGTCTCAAGGAGGCGCACAGAACAATACCCGCCCGAAGGCAACATCACAGGACCACAGCCAGTCGCAAAGTACCTCTCAGGCCAGTCAGGACGAAGGAGGCCCATCCCACATCAACACATCGCGCGAAATCCCGATCCCTATTCGCAAACAGGAGGCCAGGCGTCACTCCATCACTACAGACGAAGATGACGATGATGATGCCTCGTCAGTGTCGTCGTCCTCAACAGAGAGCATTGGCAACCGCGCCCATTACTACGACCATCACCAGCCTCCCCAGCACTCGCCAACACCGGTGACGCGCTCCACACTCAAGAACAAGTCAGACGACGAAGAGAATCCGACGATTCAGATCCCCAAAGTCACGCCCCTCGCCTCAGGCCTCACGCTGCCGCCCAACTTGGCTGAGCTGGCCGAAAATCTCGAAGACAAATATATCGACGAATTCGGCAACGTACTCGAATGGGACGGCCGCGTTCTAGGTCGCGTTGAGGGCGACCTCCCTTCCATGATCGGCAGGCCCGTGTCGGCGACGGGGGAGGTCATATCGGCCGAGGGCCAGGTTGTAGGCTACGTTGCCGAGAACGATACGATTGCGCCGCGGCCGCCGTCGCCAAAGCCCATCCACGGCATGGGCGAAGGGATGAAGCTTGACCACATGGGGAACATACTCAATAGGCATAACAAGATTGTGGGACACTTGAACGCGGAGGAGCTGGTCGACGCGCCGGAGCCGATCCGGAGGGCGCGCAACGGCGGTGGCGGTGGCAGCGGCGGCGGAAGTGGCGGAGGTGGCTGTGGCTGCAACTGTGGCCACGGCCGAGCGAAGCCTTCGGCGGCGCCGAGTCCGTCGGAGATCTACCTCGATGTCAAGTCGACGAACGACGGCGTGCAGCTGATCATCAAGATTCCGACTGTGTTTAATGGCGGGGGGACGCCAAACATTCATATTGGTACGAGTTCGTGAGATGCGGGAAGCTTAGAAGGCGTTCTGCGAATTGGCATGGCTCAGTGCAACTCGGCGGGAATAGGTGCATTTGGGTATGGGAATTACGAAAGTAGCGTAGGCGTTCTGGATTGTTCGTAGGCAAACAAACACATAGGATGATCGCAGACAACAATGGGCGACGGGCTTGGCGCACACGCTGGTGTGGTGGGCTTGCGCTGGAATTCGGTTGCGAGGCCAAAACGCCAGGAAAAGAAACGTGGGAGGCTAGAGAATCCCGTATCCTGCAAGCGCGCAGTGTTAGCTCCGCCGCTACTAATGAAAGAGCACATGGTTTGGCGGGCGCCGTTGGCGACCCCAGTTTTGACCCAGAAAACCGGACTTGTGTCGAGCATGTGTACGCTGGGCGTCAGAATATGAATTCGCAATGTGAAAACGCCATGTACACACCGAAGGCAGCACTCGGTGATCAGCTCCTGTGTTTTCTGTCAGAGAGCTCCAAGCTGAACACATGCGGGCCATGCGGCACGCAGTATGCGCGTTCTCCAGGGATCGACTGCATGTGGCGTTTGACCTTTTCGCGCCCATGACGTGGAAGAGCCGAAATGCCTCCACCCACCGATCTCGATGGGCCACGATGCACTGGGAGGGTCGGAAGTTTGAAAGGTGAGGCAGCAGACAGAGACTTGGCAGACCAGACGTTCTCGACCGACTCTGACGAATGGTTGACGGGACCGTCCAGGACACCCCTTGGAGAAAAACCTGGAGGTCTCCAGCCACACCTCGAAAAAACAAGTGGGCGGCAGCAGAGAGAGGAGAGACACCCCTCCCCTCCGCCCCATGTTGATGTTCACGCCCCCCTCCCGCTCGTGTCGATCCCTTCACGAGCCAATGATTCCCGCACCAGGGACTGGTTGCTTTCCTAGATGCTGTCGCACCATCCACCTTCCTATCAAGCCCCATCCCACTTTCACCTGGCAGAAGCTAAGTTGCGTCATGCAAAGTGCGCGCCGTCCTCTCGGTGAGGCTGTTCTGTTGGTTGATGTGTGGCTTTGCGTCATGTAAGCGTAGCGCCTTCCACATGAAGTCATGGGTTGTGGCGAGTGCCAGGGTCTCGAAAGCGGCGCTCCTCTGCCAGGCTTGTGAGTTGACTGCCTGGCATTAGCATCAGAGGAGGGGAAGGGGAGGGGGAGGGGGGTGGACGAGGAGCTCACCTTCCTGGTGCCGTTGCTGGCTTGACGTAGCTTTCCTGCTGGTGTCCAGGGGGGGGGGCTTCGAAACCTGATTCCAGGCGCGGACAGCACCATTTGGCAGTTGGTATAAGACCTCGACAGAGCATGCTGCTGAGATGGTGTGTAGCCTTCTCTTGATATCACAGCAGTTTTCACGAACTGAAAAACCCCCAAAACCAAATACCTGAACAATAATCACCTTGTACAACATCACCTGATACCCATTCCCTCAACTACCTATTCCAAGATACCCATAAGCCGAACCACGATCCAATCATCATGGGCGACACTACTACGAAGAAGGCGGAGGACACCAAGCAGAGTGGTAAGCTCATCCCGATGCAACGTCCCCCGCAAGCACAGCCACCATGTCTCACCTCGAAGCCACACCTGTAATCCAACCTCGTGAAGCTATACCGCCTCAACGTTCAGCCACAACTATAGTCACTTTCGCGTGTTATCTTGCTAACCCACCTCCAGTTGGACAGAATGAGATCTCAGAAAGCAACCTCGCAGCAGGCGTCGTAGGAAAGTCAGGAGAAATCGTCAATGAGCAGGGCGAGACCGTAGGAAAGATCACAGAGGGCGACCCAGGCGACCTTGGTACGTCCCGACCCATCTTATCAGATCCAAACAGGCCTCCACTAACGCTCTCAAGTCGGAAATGTCGTCACAGCAACGGGAGACATAGTAGGAAAAGACGGCGGTATCGTAGGCAAGGCTCTCCCGCTCGACAATGCCTCCGCAGGCGGCTCCAAGAAGGGCATTTTCGGCACCTTGATGGGCGCAACAAAGGGCGTCAAGGGTGTCGTCGACACAGTAGATGGCACCGTCCAGACGGTCGAGAAGGGCCTTCCTCTCGTCGGCAACCTCACAAAGGGCCTTGGTCTCGGCAACGGCGGCGGCGGCTTCGGCGGCCTCCTCGGGAAGAAGCAGGAAGATCGCAGCGCCGAGGACAAGGCGGCGACCACTGAGCAGGCCAAGAAGGAGCTCTTCGACAACTCAGACAAGGCTGTCGAGGCGGCGCCGATTGATCTTAAGGATCAGGAGGCTGTCGACAACGCAAAGACCGAGGTCGAGACCAAGAGCCAACCACCACAGAGCGAGGCCAGCGAGTCTAAGGACGAGGCTACCGAAGCCACCACTGAAGCCAGCACCGATGACAACGAGACTGTCAAGCAGTCCGGCAAGGGCCTGACCGATACCGTGTCTGGTGCTGTTGGTGGCGCCAAGGATGCCGTTGAGAGCACCGCATCCGGGGCCAAGGACACTGTCGAAGACACTACTCAGAAGACGACCGACACTGCGGAAGACACCACATCAAAGGCCACTGACGCCGTGGAGGACACAACGTCCAAGGCCACGGATGCTGCGGAAGACACAACGTCTAAGGCCACTGATACCGTAGAGGATACGACGTCCAAGGCCAACGACACGACCGAGGACACCACTGCCAAGGCCACCGACGCTGCTGAGGACACCACGTCCAAGGCCACCGACGCTGCTGAGGACACCACGTCCAAGGCTACCGACGCTGCTGAGGACACCACGTCCAAGGCTACCGACGCTGCTGAGGATACCACGTCCAAGAAGACCGACGCTGTCGAAAAGACGGCAGACGATGTCAAGGACACGGCAGAAGAGACCGCCGAAACTGCACAGACCACCGTCGATGACACGACCAAGGACGTGCCCAAGGACACTGATTCTGCCAAGGGCCTCGACGACACAGCGGACGACGCTCTCGACACTGCAGAACAGACCACTTCCGACGCCAAGGACAGCGCCGACAAGACTGCATCTGACGACAAGGTCGAGGATACCAAGGCCGCTGCCGAAGGCGTCAAGGACTCCGCGGAGGAGACTGCCGAGGGTGCCAAGGACACTGCGGAGGAGACGGCCGAAGATGCCAAGGACGCCGCCTCCGAGGCCCCCAAGGGTCTCAGCGAGCAGGCCCAGAGCCAGCTCGACGAGATGGAGACGGTCGCCGATGTCCAGGTGGAGAACCCCTTCCAAAAGTTCGAGGGTGCTCAGCTTGACGACGAAGGCAAGGTTATCTTCGACAACCAGTCCATCGGCAAGGTCGTTGAAGGCGATCCGCTCGAGCTCGCCAACAAGGAGATAGCTCCCGATGGGGCCATTCTCAACGATGACGGCAGCGAAATCGGTCGCGTTGAGCTCAAGTCGGAAATTGCTGAGGATCTGCAAAAGCAGGCCGAGGCACTGGCTGCCCTTAAGGGCGCCAAGGTCAACAAGGCCGGTAATCTGGTCAAAGATGATGCCGTCATTGGCCGTATCGTCGAGGGCACCCTCAAAAACTTGATCGGCCGCAAGGCTGATGCTGAAGGACGCATCTGGAACGACTCGGGTGAGCAGATTGGCCTCGCCGAGCCTCTGGCCGACAAGGAACGTGAGGAGTTCAAGGAACCTTCGCCCTTTGAGGACTTCCCTGATGCTGTTGTTCAGTCCAACGGTGACGTCACCTTTGAGGGAGAGAAGATTGGTGTGCTGATCGAGGGTGACGCTAAGAAATTGAAGGGGAAGAAAATCGACGAGGACGGCGAGGTACAAGACAGGCAGGGGAACGTACTCGGACGCGCTGAGCGTTGGGAGCCTGAAGAGGAGGAGGCTGCTCCGGAGGTTGACAACTCTCTACTTGCTGAGAAGCGTGTCAACAAGGCCGGCCTGGTCGTTGATTCTCACGGCACCGCTTTTGGACGCGTTGTCGAAGGAGACGTCGCCAAATTGATCAACCGAATGTGCAATAAGAAGGGCGAGGTTCTTTCCGAATCGGGTGAGGTTATCGGACGAGCTGAGCTGATTCCGGAACATGAACGCCACGAGAAGAAGGACCAGCCCTTCGAGAACTTCCCCGACGCCGTGGTCCAGGCCAACGGTGACGTAACCAACAACGGCGAGATTGTTGGACGCCTGATTGAGGGCGACGCGAAGAAGCTTCAAAACAGCAAGGTCGACGCCGACGGTGATGTTGTCCGCGACGGAAATGTCATCGGAAAGGCCGAGCGTTACACGCCGGAGGAGCCGGAGGCCGAGCCTGAACAGGACAAGAGTATTTTGGGCGGCAAGCGTGTCAACAAAGCCGGTTTTGTCGTGGATTCAAATGGCGTGCCTTACGGACGCGTGATTGAAGGAGACATTTCAAGATTGGTCAACCGAATGTGCGACAAGCAGGGTAACGTACTGTCCGAAAGTGGCGACAAGCTGGGTGTTGCAGAGGTGCTTCCGGAGGGTAAGTCTTCTTTCAACCCTGAGACATCTTGAAAACAACGTACTGACACTCAAATAGGCGAGCGTGAGCTCAAAAAAGAAGGCCCATTCGCCGAACTGCCAGGGTGCACTGTAGCCAAGGATGGTACCGTAGTCACCCCAAGTGGTGATATTGTTGGACGCCTGATCGAGGGAGACGGGAAAAAATTGTTCGGACGCGAGGTTGATGCAGATGGTGAAATTCTTCACCAAGGGAACGTTATCGGCCGCGCGGAGCGTTGGGAGCCGGAACCGGAACCTGAGAAGGAGAAGGGACCTTTCGCCGGCCTCAAGGTGAACAAGCAAGGCGATGTGTACCGCGACGGGGAGCTTGTCGCCCGCCTGACCTCAGGCGAGCTCAGCGTATGCTCCGGAGCCGAAATTGACGACGACAACGACGTTATCAACCACAAGGGCACGTCCATAGGACACATCACCGCCATTGCGGATATTCCTGAGCCCGAGCCTGAGGAGCCAAAGGAGTCCGAGGAGGACAAGAAGGCTCGCGAGGAGGCTGAGCAGGATGAGAAGCTTGCCAAGAACCTGGCTAGCCAAGTCGAACAGAGTCTTGACAAGATTCGCCCAATCTGCAAGATGATCACCGACAAGATTGACAAGGCGGAGCGAACACCCAAGGACGAACTTGACGAAGATGCCCTCGTCAAGGAGGTCAAGCCGCTGATCGAGGAGGGTGGCAACATTCTCAGCGAGCTGAACGGTACCATCCGTGCGATGGATCCCGACGGCCGTATCCAGCGCAACGCTAAGCACAAGTCGAGCACCAGCGAGGCTTCACCTGCGGAGCATCATCTCGCAGACTTGCTCAAGGAGGTAAGTTTATGCCGTTAACCATTTCAGTCTTTATTCGATTCTAACATAACATCAGCTGTCTGGCTCCGTCGTCACCTGCGTTGAGAACGCCAAGAAGAAGATTGCCGATATGCCTCACGCCAAGAAGCATCTGAACCCACTTTGGGGATTGCTGACCGAGCCTCTGGGCCAGATTCTGGCCGCCGTTGGACTGTTGCTTGCAGGTGTGCTCAACCTCGTCGGTCGTCTTCTTTCCGGCCTTGGACTCGGTGGCATCATCGATGGCCTCCTCGGTACCCTAGGCCTTAACCGCGTGCTTGATGGCCTCGGGCTCAGCAGCATCACAGGTGCTCTCACGGGAAAGAACAAATAAACATGGTGGAAGTAAGATGCCTTTTTTTCGAGATGGAGGATAAGGTTTAGGATTTTGTCACTGGCTTGTGGGTTTCTATCGTACTGTATGGGTTTTTGGATAGCTGTTGTGGGTTTGTCGCTCTTAATGACATGAAATCAATTTATTAGCCCCATGAACTTCTTCGGTGCCTTTGCGCGATAAGCTGCCTTCACTACAACCTTCGTCGCTTGTCTTCTCAAAGCGCTGAGTGACGGGATTTTTTTTTTCAGTGGCCATGGCTGGTCCACGGCAGCCTAGCGGTAATCTCACGCAAAGATTTAGGACTCGCCAAAGGTCGCACCGAATCCGAGAGACAGACATCCTCCTGCCCACAGTCGCCGCACCAAAATCCCTAGGATGATTCCCCTTAGGCTTCGTCAACCCTTCATCCCGACAACCACTGACGGCACTTCCGCGTTCTACATTGCACATCTCCTTAAAAGCCACAGAGCATTGAAGCATACTGCATCTTACCAAGAAAACATCAGCCCGCTACGGTGTGAGGACTACTTCTCGTCCTTCGAGGGATACTTCCGCGCGTTCGAGCTTTTGGGCAGCGAGGAAGCCGCGTCAAAGCCCATCAAGGTCCAGGAGTGCTTTGATATATGCGTTTGCAGCTCACCTAGTTCCAGACACCCTCCTGCCCTGCAGAACAGCTTCTCAATACACACACCTTTCTTCCACACTTAACCTTTTCCAACAATAACAAGGTTACTACAACATCGCGCAGGTCCAAAAGTTCCAGGTAAAGTGATCAGATTCAGCCGGGCAAGAAGCAAATTCTTGCCGCGTACCCTCATTCTCCCCACAAGCCAAAATTCCAATATCTCACTAAACCATTCCAGACGAGCAGTCAGCTATGACTGATGCCCCTACATCCAGTTCCCCTGCCTAAGCAAGACGCATCTTCACTACCGCGAGGTCCTGCCCAGTTTCAAGTCCAGCAAACCACGAAATACATCAGGTGTTCTCCATGGATCTAAGCACTTCAAGCCTAAGGTAGGCACACTGCGGTTTCGTGGAGTAATACTCTCTAGCAGTATGCTGTCTCCCCCCTCCCCCCTCCCCCGGTGACTATGCTACAGGTACCTGGACGAATCCGAATACGAAGAGAAAACAGCAACTGGCATGACTTTGTTGTGCGACTTATGATAAATTGGCATATGGATGGAGTATGTCACTGGGCTAGTGATGTTTACTAGTCAATACCACATTCATTTGAAGACTGGCTCCCTCCCTCGTCCCCTACACCTACAGCTGGTCGTGATACAAACGAGCAATGCCGACTGGAGTGAACTGATTTGGTCACAGATACTCTCATTCGATCAGGACAGTCGTGCTGCTCGCCATAGATTGGAGCGGCCTGGTCCTCCGCATGACCCGAAACTGTCGCGGTCTGCTGTTCCGAATGAGGTCTGCTGGTGGGAGGCTAGCCATCATGGGGATTCATTCGCAGCGTGCAATGTGCCAGGCGGATGATGAACCATGATCGCTCAGCTTTTTTCTTTTTATTTCAAACCGACAAACCATAAAAGAGTCCTTGTGCGAGAGGAGACGCCCGTGCGGCTAGCAATGAGCTCGGCAGCACTGTATGTCACCAGACAATGTGGAAAGCCTCACAGCCCATTTCCCTCCCCCTCCTTCCTCGCCCGCCCTTTTCTCCTAGGAGCGACAAGACATTTCCTTCTCAAAGCTCGTCCTCGACTCGCAAACGGCAGGAACGCATTTCGGGTCGAGTTTTGCATCTCCCAGGAGCTCCTTACTTACATCACCTTGATCCCACAGCAACGCAATTTCTAAATTGCGTCGGTCATCACGGTCGTGCCTTCCCCTCTGCTCCATCACCCACCCAGCGATGAGCAGCTTGTTCAGGATCGCAATTTCCAAGCGGGTTGTCTATCTCTCCTTCTCTATATCGACCGCTGGCCATGAGGCACCGACACAGCCAAGCACAGCTCCTTCAGACTCGAACCTTCCCAGTCTCGCCCATCCCTCCTTCACTTTCCTCGATCCTGCACACAAAACCCCCCAGACGCTATTTCTTCTTTTGGTCTCCCACAATTCCACGGTCAGAGCTCCGATCACCACGACTTTCCGATCGTCCTCATCAAGTTCTGGAGAACGTGTTTTTCGCCACGGCCTCTCATCGTTCCTCTGTCGCTGCAAGCCCTCGCTAACATCTCTTTGCCACGGCCTCTCGTCTTTTCCCTAGCCAGGCCTCGTCTTATCCCCTCCTATCTTCTCCTGTCCTCATCTTGTCCTCGTCTGCGACACGGCATATGCCTCGACCGAATACCCAGATCAGGACGCGTGGTTCCACTTCACCCCAAACCCGATGCCCCTCACTGTGACTTGTCTTGGCAGGAATGCAAATGGCGGAAGGTTCCTGATTGAGTTTCAGAGGCAGTTTCAATCCATCTGGCAAGAAATTGCAAATACGTTCAGCGAATGTTGCATCAGTGGATACTCGTTCTTCTATCCCCATATGCCTCTGTCGAGGCTGATTCAAGCGTCGATGGCACCCACGGACCCCAACAAGGAGTCCTATCGAAACGCCAGTGGGTCGGCTAGATCTCCCAGAGACACCGGCATCCCGTCTGAGGAAAAGCCCGGCCGTTTCTCTCTTGACTTTCGTCCCGAAAATACCACGTCCTGCGGCTTGAGTCCTCCTCAGGAAGGATTGGTGACGGTGCTGTATGTGGAGACAGGTCACACCACTTTCACATGCGGTTCGACAAGGTACTCACCCTGAAGTCTCTTGAAGAGTTGCGAGATGAGGGAAAGTGCAGTGTTCAATCTTACTTGTGTGGCCACAGCTGGTGCCTGAACCTAAAACACCGAGTCATTGAGTCCATCGAATTGGACGACACACGCCAGACCTGTCACAGGCTTAGCATACTCCTCAAGTCGGATGGTGTCATCAATCAACTTTATTGCCACAACGCACTCCATCGCGAAACCCCGTGCGGATCTTTGTCTGCTTCCTTGAGTGTCCTCGAATGCGTCGTCGTAGAGTACCTCCTGGCCAGCCGGACTTCGATCGACGGCCTCACTGCCAGACAACGTGGCCCATTTATTCTGTCAGCAAGCGCCTGTCACCCTTCCAGAGACTTATTACTGTCGACATCCTCAAGTCACTCGATGCTCGGAGTCAGCAGGTTGCCCCCAGTATCCCGCGAACAAACAATCCCTTGATCGAGTTTGATGGCATCTTCGACTTCTGACCGTTGTCGTTTCATGGAGACGGAGCTGCAGCAGTCGCACCTCCTCGAGATCAGTATCGACGAAATTGTCATGAAAATCGTTGCGCAACATCTGATAAGGTCGAAGAGTGTTGGAACGTTGGCCCAATTCTTATCACTTCTACGGTCGAATGACTTGTGTTCCTTTGCGACCTTCTCAGGTCACGATCGACCACCCACGCCTTGGAATGGCATCAGACATCGACATGCGCCTCCACAACCTATCACCAGCTTTGAGATGATGCAGCCGGCAAGAGACGTTTTCTAGGACTTGATGGCTTCAATTAGGGATGTATTTTGGCAGTCATCGTCGACGGTGTTATGTCGAGCGACATCTACTAACAGACTCGTTTTCTCAGTAGCACACATATTAATACTTGTGACATGTACGTCTCGCATCGTGATCGTGACTTGGAGTGTCATGACATGGCGAAATCTCATAAGAAGATGTCAAAGCCGAGATGTCAAACAACACAGCAGTCGTCGCCCTTCCGCCCGGGTGCCCATCTCGGTCGGCCACATGAAAGCAGTGGCTAACCACAATCGCCATGACCAGCTTCTCTGCAACGTCGATTGGCACATTGCGCGAGATTGCATATGGAAGTCTCTGCTCAAGGACGCTGTCAACGGCGCGGGCGATCTGTATCTGCCTTGCGTGACCGAGTTCTCAGGTGACCGCCTCGCGAATGACCGCCCTACGCCTCCCTCGTAGACCCTGCCGGAGCGTGCTCCCTCTCACCGGCATCAGGCCTCTTCGGCAAGTCCCACCATGGCGCGTTATCCGTCCACATCGCAGACAGGCCGAGGGTACACGGTAGACACAGATAAACCAGCGTCCATAGGCCAGCCCTCTTCAACTTGACATGGGCTACGAGACAGCGAAATATTCAGTAGGCGCCTCGCATGAACACACGAGGCAAGACACGACGTTACCGTATTTTCCATAGTACTTGATCCAATCGGACGTCTTTGGCTTAGCCATGAGTGGATGCGCGAAGAAAAGAGCAAGCGGCTGTCTATGACAAAATGCTTGGGGTGGAGATGGATGATCCAAGATGAGCTTGTAAAGTGGGCGCGGCAAGTTTTGTTGGAGAAGAGAAGGGTTCAACTGAACAGCGCAGCCAGAGGGACGTCAGAGCCATGGTGCACCAGGGGGGGACGTCATAAATCTGCGTGTAGGATAATGTGACATGTAGACTTACCAACCACCGGCCGGCTACCTGCTACCATACCTAGGTACGCCAAGAGACCTGACGCGTGCGGTCAACAGGAACAAAGGCGTGTCAGCTGACGTCATAATGTAAATGCATCAGACTGGCACTCCAAGATGTGCGCTGGAGTTCCTGTCAATTGGATGTGTCTTAACAGCATTGAGACATGACGACAAAAAGGTCTCCCGGAATGCATATCCAGGAAAAGCAAAAGATTAATGCTGTGCGTGAACTGGGAATCGAACCCAGGGCTCCCCGATGGCAACGGAGAATTTTACCACTAAACCATTCACGCTTGGTTGTAGAGGTGTTTCTGACTGTGCTCTATGAGCTTGATATTCAGGCTCCACATTCTAGGCACCACTCTCCTCGGTGCCTGCATCCATACATGCAAGTATTCTGCAGCGGACAGTGAACGGGCTCCATTGCACAAAGTCGCTCGCTTCATCTTCAATGGCTTTCTCGTACCGTGGCACGCTCCGGATGGTCCTCTACCTAGCACCGGAGCCAGTACCATTGATGAAAG